AGATTGATTTTGGACAAAGCCTGTGGTCTGGAAAGCTCGGCCTGCTGGAGCGTATGCCTAACACACCAAGGGCACACCCCTGTCTAGAGCTCTCGTCTGGTTTTATAGCCTTGGACTCGAGAGCTGAATAAAAAGAAAGGTCAGACTCACAGTCCTTCCGACAGCTTTTCCTGAGCACATCACCTTGGGAACAGGGAATCGACGTGTGTCTGGAGCAAGCTGGCCTGAACCCTGCACTCCCTCCCAGATTATCCTTTGCTGCAGGAGGACGGGGCAAAGAGGGGGCTACGTTCCTTTGGCACATACTCCTATTCAGTATCTACAAAGAAAAATTCCATTTTCTTGGCAAGCCAGCTTGTGAGCATTTTTACCACAGTGCTTAAAAGGAAAGTTTTTTAAAAACCACCTATATCCTTCATTCACTCACTCGCTCATTCATTCACTCAACAACCTTCCATTCAGCACCGACTGAGCAGCAGGTGTTGCAGACGAGGTGGGGTCAGTCGGTCCCCGAGAGAATTCCCGACCTCCCAGGGCAGCTGTACCGGGTGCCTAATGACTCCCTGGTCTCTCGGGGTCACCCCAGCAGCCAACCCCACGACTCGTAATCCCCAGGAGGATGGGGAGGGAAAATCTTTTCAGCCTCAGTCCTGAGAGGCTTTACCCCACGTCATGGGGGGCCCGGCACAGACCAGGGCCCCGGCTCCCCACTCCCCAGCCCCCCTGCGTGCCCTCCGGCAGCCTCCTCAGCTTGGGCCTGGGAGCTCGTCGGTTCGTCTAAAGCCATCGGGACCCCTTGGCCTTCTGGAACCACGAGGGGCACTATCTCCTTGATAAATGTCGTTTCCCATCCCTGATTCTGTCTCGGCCACCAGCCGAAGACACGGGAAAGTTCTAAATTGACCGGGTTTGGCCACATCCTTACTCTGAAACCGTGGGTCACAGGTGCTTTAAGAGCAGAGAAGGGGTCCCCCGCCTCCCCTGCAGCAGCATCCCCAGCTGCGGGAACCGCAAGGTGGAGAAGCGACAGGTGCCGCAGGCGCCAGAGGGGGGCCAGGGGCTCCCGGTCACACCTGCGCCCTCCACCTGGGTGATCCCGGCAAGCAGGCGAGGGGGGCGCTCCGTGGCCTGTCCCAGTGCCGCCGCTCCCCGACCTGCACCCGGGATCAGGGGGCGAGCTCCCGGCTAAGGAGCACGCCGGGTCCCATTGCCCGGGCCTCGGGGTAAGGGCCGAGTGGGGCGCGGAGCCTCAGTTAGGAAAGGGGGGCCCGGGATCCCTGGGTGGCACAGCGGTTTGGCGCCTGCCTTTGGCCCAGGGCGCGATCCTGGAGACCCGGGATCGAATCCCATGTCGGGCTCCTGGTGCATGGAGCCTGCTTCTCCCTCTGCCTGTGTCTCTGCCTCTCTCTCTTTCTCTCTCTGTGACTATCATAAATAAATAAAAATTTAAAAAAAAAAGGAAAGGGGGGCCCTGGGGAACAGCTAAGTCAGGGGAACAGGGAGGAGGCGCGAGAGCAGGGGCCCGAGAAGCAGTTAAGATTTCAACTGGAGCGAGGATGCCTAACAAGCTCTCAAAAGTGAGGGGCAGGGCCTGCAAGCGGGGCTCAGAGCTCCTCCTGCTTCTGCCTCTCTCCTGGAAAACACCAGAGGGACATACAGGGTCCCTTTGCTACTGTCCTTACGTCCAAGCCGCTTAAAACCCGCCCAGATTCTCAGAAGTTGCTCACTTCAAGTAAGTTCAGTGGAACCTCTTTAACTGCATCAGCCTGTGATGGTGCAGAGGATGCCCAGTGACCTCCTCCCCTCCCAGGAAGACCCAGCCGGCTGCTCTGGCATTCGGTTTAATCTTCCCTCCCTGATTCCACCCCCCCCTTTAGCCATCCCCCAACTCTAAGCGTGGGTGCAGGTCGGTGGGTCGGTGGGAGGCACATGCAGGAAACCAGAGGGCAAGAGGACAGACAGCAAAGCACTTCCTCCCGGACTCCTGTCTTCTTCGGCACTGTCATTTTTTTTCCATGAGGCTTCCTGTGCTAGGTCCTAGATGCACCGTGGCCTAAAACACAAGCTCTGCCCTCGAGAGATGCACGGTTTAGATGCACCCCTGTAGCGGGGAAGAAAAAGGCTGGAAGAGGGAATTATAACAGAGAGCTGAGGGCTGTGGCCAAGCCACGCAGGTCTGAGACAAATACAGAAGAAACTGCTTGACCAGAGACTCAAGGAAGCTCCTGGAGGAGGTGATGTCAAATCTGAGCCCTCCTGGTGACTAGGAATTTGCTAGAAGAGAGGTACACGGAAGGAGATTTTGAAACAAGGCCGTCCCAGGGGGAGCCACAGAGACAGCCGTGAGCTTTCGTACTAATCCTCACCTTAGGATGCAGAGTCTACCCCAGGATTGCAAGTACACATGTTGGAATGATGTGGGGGAGCTTTCAAATGTACTGATGCCTACGTACCCCTCTATTTACTCGGAAACAATAAGGTTAACATCTAAGTTGCTCCCTTGCACAGAGCCTTTTGGAGATCCTGCAGATGCAGGGGACCTGCACTGTGTTACAGGGTCACATGTTTGTAAAATTTGCAGAAGATACTGTTTTGTGCTTAGTAATGAGGACCCGCAAACTGCACGCTAGTCAGGACCACAAACCTGGACCCATCCCTTCACCCAGGCCCCACTTAACCCAATTCAATCAGCATCTCTGGGGATATGATCTGGGCACCAGCCTGCTTTAAAAGCTGCCTGAGTGAGTTTAATGTGTGACCACAGTTGAACACATTGTGCTTTTTATTTTATTTGTTTTTTAAGATTTTATTTATTTATTCCTGAGAGACACAGAGAGAGAGGCAGAGACCCAGGCAGAGGGAGAAGCAGGCTCCATGCAGGGAGCCCGACGTGGGACTCGATCCTGGGACCCCGGAGTCACACCCTGGGCTGAAGGCAGGTGCTTAACTGCTGAGCCCCCGGGCTGCCCACATTGTGCATTTCAATAGCTGGAAGGGACCTCAGGGTTCCTGGTAAAACCCCCTCCCTTTACAGGTGAAGTAACCATAATCCCGAGAAGAGCGGAAGGTCCCACAGCTCATCACTGTAAAGCAGGATTCAGACCTAATTCCCCTGGCTCCCAACTCATGCTCTCCTGCTTAGATAGCTGGCAATTTCTGGTAACATGTACCAGACACTAAAACACATGTGTTTGCCCTCCCTTCCTTCAAAGCCTGGGCCTCCGAGCCCGGAGCTGACGAGCATCCATGTAGGCCTGCTGTGTCAGGAAGGCCTGGCCTGGCTGCGGGGGGCAGGGGGGCAGGACTGGGTGTGAGGGGCATGAGGCAGTGATGACCAGGACCCTCCCTCGAGGCTGGAATGCACAGGGAATGCCTTCGCCTCACGCATTACAAGTCCCTGGGTCAGAGGGAAGAGGCACAGAATCGGGACTATTCTAGCCAGGATGGCCTGTGAGGGGCTTTTCTGGAGCCAGTTTTTACCACCTCACAGTCTATGCAGGTGTGACCTGGAGAGAGCCTCCCCTTCCCGGACGACCCTGCCCCGTGAGAGCCCATGAAACCCAGTGACATATACCCGGGCCCACCGAGGCAGGCCAAACATCCCCCCAGGTCTATAAGACCCCGGGTTGCATAACCAGGTACTTCCCACTGGAAGTACTTCCTTCTGTGTTCACGATTAGACTCGAAGGGAGCCCTCAGAATGCCTCTGTAAAAGTACTGTTGGTTTTTTTGAAAATCACCGGGGAAATGGAAACCAGGAGACAACTCTGAGAAGCTCGGATGCCTCCATTTTGCTGGGAAGGATGGTGGCCCTGGGCGGTTTGCGACAGGGGGCAACAGGAGGGAGCTGCAGGCCCTATTGGTGCGGGAGCGGGGCTGAGGCTGCAGCTCCCACAGGAGGTGGCGTCCGGTCTGTCTGCTGATTCAGGGGTAGAGCATTTCTGAGTGGCTACTCTATGACGAGGCTGAGTCCCAGCCAAGGACGGGGGCAGAGATGCGCATGATGCGAGCACTTCCCATCACTCTCCAAGTACAGAGAGCGGGAGAGCCGTGGGCCACGGGCCAACGTCTCTTAGATGCCAATACACCCAATACACTCTTCGAAAGATGTCATTGGGTGGCTCAGTCGGGTAGGCATCCGGCTCCTGATCTTAGCTCAGCGTGGTGACATCAAGCTCCGTGTCAGAATCTGTGCTGGGCGTGGAGCCCACTGGGGACTCTTGCTTCCTCTCCCTGGCCCCTCCCCCACTAAAATAAAAGACTTAATTGGTACTATTGCTACAAAACTAAGGAGACACGGTCACTTCTAATGATACTTTTACATCCTCCCCTTTCCTTTCCCAGGGGCCGATCCCTGGCAAGCATCCTGCACACACCATCCCCGGCCGGCTCCTGGAGAGCCCAGCCTGTGGCCGCGGCATCCTTCTTCCCCACCACTCTGCCGCCAGAGCACGCACATACTCAAGTCCATACTATATACATGACGTCCTGTCTCTTGGGCTGTAGCCCCTCACGAAACCTCAGAACAAGCTTTGATGCAATGTCTCTGGCTGCTTAGGAGAGGCAGCAGAGCTTAATGGTCAAGAGCATTAACCGGGCATTAACCTTGGCTTGAAATCACAGCCCTTCCCTCATTTATGGGGAGCAAATGTGATGACGTGCACGACGGCGTTACACGGAGACCAGCCCACGGGGAGCCCCCAGTAAATGGCAGCTATTATTCCTGCAATCCAAAGTTTCCGAGATCTGAATCCAAGCCACATACGCACCGAGGAACTGTCCCTTCCTCTTAGACCGGGACAGGCTCTACCTTCAGCTTCTCCCTCCCACTCTCTGCTGTCCTACAAGGGGGAAGTCAACTTTTCCTCTCACAAAACAAACAAAACACCAGAGAATCAAACAACAAAAAGCCCTCAGTTCAAACTTTGATCATCATTTTTTTGCCTTGCTGCGATAGGTTCCAAACTGGTTTCTTACCCCTTAGACTCAGTTCTCTGTCTCCAATCCATTCTTCACTCTGCCCAGAGTTATGTTTCTAAAACGTAGATAAGTTCTCTGCTTGAAATCCTTGAATAACTTTTTTTTCTGCATGGAAAAAAATTAGATAAACCATGTAAGCCACTGAATATGGCCATGCCTTCTACTACACTATTGTCCTAAATCTCGTCGATACCAAACCACTTGTAGTTTCTGAACCGTGCTGTGCTGTATGCTGATTTATGGTTTCCTTGTCTTTGAATGCTAGTCCCTTAACCTTTACTTTACACAGTGAATTCCCAGATCTGTGAAAATCCTATTTATTCTTCAAACTCTTTGCTATGGACTGAATGTCTGTGCTCCTCCAAAGTTCCTGTGTTGAGGTCCTAATCCCCAAACTTGATGGTATTTGGAGGTGGGACTTTTGGGAACTAATTAGATTTAGATGAGGTCATAAGGGTTAAGGCTCTGTGATGGGATTAGTGCCCTCGCAAGAAAAGACAAGGGGGAGATATTGGCCTCTCTCTCAGCCCTATGAGGACAGAGCAAGAAGGCAGCCATCCATAAACCAAGAAGAAAGAGGGCCCTCTCTGGACATCAAATGTGCTAGCAGTCTGATCTTGGACTGAGCTTCCAGAAGCTCCAGAACTGAGAAAAATAAATGTGATTTAATCACCCCAGTCTATGGTACTTTGTTACAGCAGCCTGAACTAACTTAGCTACGTCTTCTCAATACCCTTTATACTTCACTTACTCATTATACCTCAACGGAACGCTGAGCATGTAGCAGAGCTCATACTACATCCTAGAGATGCAAAAACCATCCCTGCCCTCAAGATGTATTTAGTGTAAACGGGGAGACAGGAACATACCTGACAATTCCAGTAGACTGTATGAGGTGCTGTCAGAGCACAGATAAGGGGCACCTAACCCAAACAAAGGCTTAGAGAGGCCTCTCCATAGGGGTGATGCTTGAATTCAGCCTTCCTGACTTCAGGTCATTCCCTGCCTCACACCATAGAGATAAGCACTCTCCACAATGTAAAACTTTTGTAACCCTGTGTGTGATCTTGTTGCTTCTTCCTCTCTAGTGGCATGATAATTCAATAATTCTCCTTGGAGTGAACGTTAAGGACAAGAACTTTGTCTTAGTCATCTCAGTATTCCCAGATACTTTTAGAATGTCTAATACATAGTAGGTACTCAATTACTGTTTGAAGAACAAAGAGATGGATGAATAGATACATGGATAGATGCTCAATAAACATCTTCAAGTACTCAATGATTGTATTATATGAGCATGATTGAAACTGGAGAAAGAACTCTTTAAGTAAATTCACTTAAAATGTAAGAGACAAAGAAAAATTAACTTGAACTTTATGTTAAAAGTGGAAATCAAATTATCAAAATATGTTCTTTTATAGTAAAAATTTAGATTAAATGGTTAAGTGGGCACTATTTTTTTAGAAATAATATTGGAGGGGGTAGTAGTTGAAAAACGTCTCTAACAGCATCTCTGAGAACACTGTAATTTCACGTTACTGCAGGAAAAGCAATACTTTTATTTAAAAATTTCAAGATCTTGTCATTTTGCATGAGAACCTCTCTTATATTTTGACATATAATCATCACACTTATGTATGCATTTTGTTCATTTTCCTTCTTTAGTTTCATTTTATTTGCCAATGGCTAAGTCTGTGTTGTAGACAGTAGTACATCACTTGTATTAACATCATAAAATCTTACATCCTCTGAAAAATACAGAGTTTCACTCTGTTATTTACATTGAATTTTTATTTTCTTTCAGGTGTGTTCAATAACAGCAAGTGGTCTAATAATGACATTGATTCAGTGGGGATGAAATCCACCCAGTGATTTCTGGTAAATCTTTAACAACTAGTCCCCCAAAAAACAAAGAGCTCTGATTTATAGTGTTTTCCAATTGTCTAGTGTAAATAATTCACCACGGCCAATTCCAAGTGGCCGACATGATGTCACTGAACGCAGACTTGGGAAGAGAGGTGTACACCGCATCTCTGAGCCTATATGATGAGCCAGCTCCAGCACATCACTGGATAGATGCCAATGGTAAGCTGGATGTGATGCTTGAGTGGTCATTAAATTGGTCAGTTTTTAGTGAATATTTCTGTGCTATGATGACTCTTCTTTTCCTCATAAACCTTATAACCTACAGCATCCAATAATTACAAATCCCATGTACATCATGTCAAGCTCCCTAGAGTTGCCCCCAAGTAAATAAAACCTTAGTAATATTTCATATTGTCTCTGGAGCAGACCCTGAGTTCACTCTCCATTCTTTGTGTCTAATACTCCTTCCAAACCCACTACTACTATATCCAGGGGTTGGAACAGCAAGCCCCTCACACCTTTTTCTTAGTATTCTTCCTGGAAACATCATGAGACCAGAAACTAAATATAAAGCTTAAAATTCTTCTGTATTTTCTCTACCTTCCCAAAAGCAGGACTCTCCCTTTCCAATTGTTATGGACTGAATCTTGCCTCATCCTCAAAATTCATATGTTCAAGCCCTAATCCCCAGTGCAGCTGTATTTGGAGATAGGGTCATTAAGAGGTAATTAAGGCTAGATGAGGTTGCAAGTAAGGAGGCCTTAATCCAATATGACTGATGTCCTTATAAGAAGGGGAAGAGATGCTGGGGAGGCACACATGTAGAGAAAAGGCCACGTGAGGACACAGAAAAGGAGGCTGTTTGCAAGCCAGGAAGACAGGTCTCACCAGAAACCAATCCTCCTAGCACCTTGATCTTGAACTTGCAACCCTGAGAACTGTAGGAAAATACACACCTGTTGTCTCAGCCACCCAGTCTGTGGTGTTCTACTACAGCAGCCCTCATGGTCTAATGTCCAAACAAATCGCTAAGATAGCCTTGAACATTTCCTAGTTCTTGGTAAATGCACAAACTAACAACGCGGTGGCATATGGGAGAATATGTGTGATGCATAAACTCATGAATTACTCTGATTTTTAATTACACAGGTTACTTCAAGATTGCTGAGAAGGTTGCTATTGGACCATCTGCAGGTCATTACAACGTGACCTGCAGGATGAAATATAACTGTCAGCCTCATTCAGAAATATTTATTCATTTTGGGAATTGCCATAATTAATATAAGGCATTCTTGCACAGACTTGTATTAAACTCAGTATAATCAAAGACATACAGGTTATTAAAAAAGAACTTTCGAAGTTTGTGGAGGTAAACCTGTAGTTTCAGATAACCCTGTCTCCATTGACCTTAGATTCACTTGCTTCTGAAGCAAGATGATGGGAGAAATCAACTAAATTTTAAAGATTTTTTTTAAAATAGTGACAAGGAATAAAGGGGAAAGGAGAAAAAATGAGTGGGAAATATCAGAAAGGGAGACAGAACATGAGAGACTCCTAACTCTGGGAAACGAACTAGGGGTGGTGGAAGGGGAGGTGGGCAGGGGGTGGGGGTGACTGGGTGACGGGCACTGAGGGGGGCACTTGATGGGATGAGCACTGGGTGTTGTTCAAATTGAACACCAATAAAAAATAAATTTACCAAAAAAAAATAAAGATTTTTTTTAAAAAATGAAATAGGCCAAAGACTATGAGACTTCACTGTGAATAGGGAGTATTGGTTTGCCCAAGTAGACATTACAGAACAGGGTCTGACTAACCTCAGACCTGACCAAAACAGCTCTATTTGCCAAAAAAACCCCAGTCATTTCCACACGGTGCCAATAAATCCAGATTGCTGGCTACCACCTATGAACACACACAAGGCAGCTCACTGTTGGAAACGTGAACAGAGTTTAGTGTTTGTAAATTTAATTACAGCTCCGTTTGCTGGTAACAAAGATCCAGTTAGTTTGTGTTCTGGGTTAGGTAAGAGGTTCTCTCTGGCTTTCAAAGCACCTTGGCTTAGCTTCTCCATCTCCATGTTGTTGCAAATGGCAAGATTTCATTTTTTGATGGCCACGTGGTGTTCCCGTGAGTGTGTGTATGTAGCACATCTCCATCCATCATGTGTCAACGGAATCTGGGCTCTTTCCACAGTCTGGCTGTCGTGGACATGGCTGCTGTGAACACCGGGCTGCAGGGGTCCCAGCGTTTCACTACATTTGTATCATTGGGGTAAATACCCACAAGTGCCATTGCTGGGTCATAGGGCAGATCTGTTTTTAACTTCTTGAGGACCCACCACACTGTTTCCCAGAGTGGCTGCACCAGTTTGCATTCCCACCCACAGCAAGAGGGCTCCTCCTTTTCCGCATTCTTGCCAACATATATTGGCATATATTGTTTCCTGCCTTGTTAATTTTCCCCATTCTCACTGGTGTGAGGTGGGATCTCATTGTGGTTTTGATCTGTATTTCCCTGATGCCGACCAATGTGGAGCATTCTCTCATGTGTCTCTCCATCCTCCTCCACCCTCTTGCTGTTCCACAGCTTCCGTGCACACAGAGCAACAATGAACAGGAGGCTGGAGTGTCTCACTGGTCTCTTTGCCCTTGGTGCTGACTCAGATCCTGTGAGAGCTCCAGGAAACTAATGAAAATAAGACAAAGACCATGAATAGTAGAGCCCACCAAAGAGGAAATACAAATCACTGATAAAGAGACAAAGAGGGGCCCCTGGGTGGCTCAGTAGTTAAGTGTCTGCCTTCGGCTCAGGTCGTGACCCCACGGCCCCAGGGATTGAGTCCTGCAAAGAGCCTGCTTCTCCCTCTGCCTGTGTCTCTGTCTCTCTCATGAACAAATAAATAAAATCTTAAAAAAAAAAGAGAGAGAGAGAGACGAAGAGATTGTGTTTCAATGGTGATTAAAAGAATGGCACGTTCAACATGATATTTGCTGCTTTCAAATTGACGTTTTAATGAAAGGATGGGCATCAAAGGCACGTGAACTTGGTTCAACTGCTCTGCCTTTTATCATCTGATGTTACTAGAGAGCGAATTGGCAATATGCACGAAAAACCTTTAAAATGTTACTGTGCCTTCTGCTTCCAGCCAACGTGGAATAAAAGGTACCAGATTTACTCCCCTGCCTGAAATCACCAAAAAGTATTAGGTTAAAAAAAATCAGATAAAATCTATTCAA